TGCATATTTTTATTAGGTGTGAATCACTAAGATGTACACACGCTCCAAATTTCAAGTAATTTGGAATGTAGAGAAAAAATGAAAATTGAAACACTACCGAACAACTGTGACCGTGAGATGAAGTTTGGATGGTGGTGAGGGCAGGCGAAATCACTATTCATTTTCGTCTATAGGCGTTGGGAAGAGTTTTAATATATAAAGAGAATTTGAATTAAAAATTGAATTTTTATATAATTTGAGTTCACTTGGATTCAGCCAAATTGCTCAGTGCCGAGACGAGAAACCCGTACTTAGGTAAAGGGGGTGTTGTTCATATAAATGGATGAGTTACAATAGTAACTCACTGGAATTTCATCAGAACTCGGCGAGATTCTAACTGGCTCACTGAGTCTATCAGAACTCGCCAAGTTCAACACCTCATTAATAAAAAAAGGGATCAAAAATCTAAACCCCCATTTCTTCATTGGATAGAGTGCAACTTTCAATGATAGGATTATTTTTATATGATCTATCCATAGATCAAATTTGAGAAAAGAACAAAGAACTTACGGATTTGAGATATCAAAATTTTCAATCAATATTTTCGTCAAATTAAAGAGGTTTCTTTGCAACCGTTGCTCAATCTCAAATGAAATTTGTTACATAAGCATATTTTGGGTACTTTATCAAATCATAGGCTCATATCACACAATAAACCACTAAAAAACTCAGATTTCCAAAATTTGAAAATCAAATTACTATTCACCCAAAATGTCAAGAGCTCGGACCATATAAATGCAAACTCAAATCTCAAATATGGTTTAAAGGTCTCAATTTGGGGTAATTGAGGAACCTTTGACAAAGATTGAAGGCATTGATTTGCACCAGGAGCAAATACTCGATGATCGGCTTCAAAAATTTTGGAAACTTTTGTTTTTCTTTATACAAATTCATATGAATGATTTTATTTTGACTGATATCACTCAATCTTGTAATATTTCAGTTACTGCTGTATTTTTGTTGCATATTATCAAAAAATGAGTAAGATTCAGTTTTTTTACGATTTTGAGATGTACAAGAGACTTTTTTTTTTTGGGTGATTCTGTTAGGATAGGACCCCTACCCCATGGTAGGAATGGAACTGATGACGCCATGTTGCGACAACCCACCACCCTGACAACCTAGCCTTGAGCCCATTCCTATAGAAAGAGACTTTTTACATGTATGCAAGGACTATATATATATATATATATATATTCTTTTTCTTTTTCTTTTTTTTCTTTTTTCTTTTTTTGTTCTTTTTTCTTTTTTTTTTTTGTTTCTTTTTTCTTTTTAATT